TCCCCCCCCCCCCCCCCCTTGATAAATTCCTCTATAGTTACCCACCTCAGTAAAACGGAAACCTGCCTAAGGCAGAATTGAAACGGAAAGAGAAATTTCTTCCCTTCCGAGGGTTTTTACCTGTCTATGACGGAAAATGCTTTGCCCACCTAATCCTGATTTGAAACAAAACTATCAAGTTTGGTTCCTTCGGATCTAAACTTTAGGTCTATGCCATGCCCCCCGACGAGGAAAGGGAGTGGGATTGCAACTTGGGGATAGATGTTACCCTAGAATCTAGATCTCTGTGAGCCAACGCCAGCTTTAGTAGAGTTTAGAGTAGGCGGTGATGTGAGCCCTTAGCGGTGCAGATGGTTAGAGAGGTGTGGGTATGAAATCTTCACCAGTGCCTATAAAACTGCTCTAGCGGCGCTCCAACACAGAGGCTTTCTTGGGTAGCCAAAGGCCAGAGATGTGAAATTACTTTGACCAAAGCCTGCCACTCTGATCGCACGGCCAGCCTAAAAAAAAGTTCTTTGAATTTTTATTATATTATGCACGGGAGGGATGGCATTGGTTGGCTGTTTATTACAATGATGGGTGGGGCTAAGCAGTTGGAGGTGCTTAATCGTTTCTGTTTTTAATAGCTCAAACTGAAACAGTAGTCCTATGAAGTGCAAGCCCTGGTGGCATTGGGTAAGTACGACTGACGCATGCCATTATCAGAGCGGCCGGGAAAGCACTAGAGAAGTGTAAAGTTCTGACGACAGCTTGCCCACCGAGCAAGCGACCCTTGATCCCAACGACTTGGTATGAGACCCCTCTCCATCTCCCCCTAAATAAGCCGTCCCAAGTCTAAGACAGAAAGTGTCTAAAATTGAATTTTTGGAGGCTCCCTAGCAATTCTATCTTACACAGTTTTGAATGACTGTAAGTTGAATGAATTTGTGAAAAAACAAATACATAGCTGGGACCTAAAGCTTTCTTTATACCTCAAAATGGCCTCCAACTTGACTGAGTTACCAAAAGCACTTCAATAATTACTAAACGACTCATCTATAGATTAAATTATTTTAAGGCTCCCAATAGGCATATTATTACAGGTAGAAACAACGAGTAGTATAACATGTCTTTATATCCAAATTCAATTACCCAAAACAGTATTGAAATCATAATCAACATTTTTTTTTTTTTTTTTTTTTGCATGCTTCACATGCCAACATGTTGCACACCAACAATATTAAATCCTGTAAACACTACAAAAATAGCACTGCCACAACTAAATCATACCTTTTAGAGAGAATGTCACCGACTTGATCGGAGACACTGCAGCTTTCTTTTTGACAGCCAGAAACTTTTCTGTCAGCAGCGCTACGTTTTCCTCGTGCAACACTAGTCCTGAATGTTAATTTTGTCAGTAAAAGTAAAAGAAATATCATTTCAAAATTGTTGGATACATAATCAAATGGAACAAACAATTACTAGGCTCTCAAATAAACAAGGACTAAATTGGCAAAAAGACAAATCAGAGTATCCCAAAATACTCAGCAGGAATATTCAGAAGAGAAATATATGCTTCCCTCAGTTCAATGGCGATACAGGCGCACAACGGGTGTGAATGGGTGATTTTTTTCTTTGGGGGGGGGGCAAAATAAACAGAGGACAGAAAGAAGCATAACCCATTATAGATGCCAAGATTTATCCTAAAGTGGCTGTTTCCAATACATGTGTTGGCCTTGAAAAACCTGTCATGTTGTAATTTTATGATAGGGCTATTTGAAAGCTCTTTTATTTCCCAGTCCTCTCATTAAATGTTTTAAAATAAATCAATGCCTGATCGAGTTCTATCTATTTCATGTTTTTAAAAAACAATAGAAAACTCCAGCTCGGACACATGTGTTGTACACACTTTAAATTTTGTATTTCATGTTTTATTAGTGCGCAATGTGGCCAACACCGGCAGCACAGACAAAAATCAAGCCGATATGAGAATTCCCCCTAACTGCTCCCGAGAATGTTTCAGATCACTGTGTTGATTGTAGCTGTTATTCGATCTTTCATGTCATTGATATTTTCTGAAAGTAGTAGAACAAAAACTTTATGTTTAACGT